GCAGGCAGCCGCAGGCAGGAGAGGGCAGGAGCCGGCCGCGAGGGTGTCCGCGGCCCGCCCACCGCGGCCCCGGCCTTGGCCTGCGCCGAGAAGCAGGCGCGGCCGCAGGAGGAGCCGCTCTCCGGGAAGTGCATGCGAATCTCTGGGACCCCCCCGGGTTTCCTCGTGGAGCCCAGGAGGGAGCCCGCCCGCCCAGCCGCCCGCCTGCCCCGGTCCAGCCGCTCTCGCAGGGGGCCTGCGGGGTCGGGCCTGAGAGGATCTCCCGTGGTTTTGGAAAAGTCGGCCCCATCTCTGCTCCCGGTTGCCTTCCAAAACTCTTTTCTGTTTCCTGTCCGCTGCACGCGTCCTTCTGAGTCTCAGCCCACTTCAGCTTGCATGCTCAGCGCAAAAGTGAGGACAGGAGAGCGAGCAGGCTGAAGAAGGGACAGCGAGCGAGGCCGGGCCAGGCCAGCAGGAGCCAGGCAGGCAGGTGCACAGTGCAGGAGGCAGGCGCAGGCCGGGGCAGCCCGAGCCACGCCGCCTCTGGGTTCCTAGCAGCTGCGGCCCGACTCTCGCCCCTGAGGCGCTGTGTCCCCGGCCGCAGCCGTCCGCTGACACTCTCGCTTACACCGCAGGCTGAGAAGGTGCTGCAGTTCGACCCGGGGACCAAGAACGTGACGGCGCTGCTGATGGAGGCACGGGAGCTGGAGGCCCGGGTCATCATCCTCTCTGCCAGGTGAGGCTGGGCCGGGCCCCTCCCTCCACCTCACCCAGGGCTGCACCTGGGCCACGGGCACTGTGGGGCCGAAGCGGAGTTTCAGCTTCCGAAATGCCATCGCCAGGGAGACCCCCGCCCCCCGCTCCCGTGTACACAGCTGGTGCCCTGGCAGATGCCACGCCCTCCACGTGTCCATCCCAACTCCTTCCCGTCGCCTGCCGCCGCTCGCTCCGAGCTGGACGACGGATAAGCCCCTGCCTTTAGGAAGGCAAACACGGCCCGAGGTGATAGACGTGTCACAGGACTCTGGGAACTGGGCGCAGGGAGAAGGCCCAGGGAAGTGGGAAGTGACATGTGTGCAGGTGAGCCCAGGCGAGAAGGCCACAGCGGGGAGAGAGCCAGAGTCCTAGGACGGGAAGACCGCGATGGTCAGAGTGGGCAGCACGGAGAAGGGAACCAGTTAGGGACCTGTGAACACCAGGCCGCCGCCAGACAGGGCCTGACCCACACCTCGACTTTGGAAATGAGCCCCTAGGGAACCTCTCCCTGTCTGTAAATGGCTAGGATCCCCTGGGAAGGGAGAAGGCAGGCCACCCGGAACAGGAAAAGGAAGAGCCCCGCTCCACGGAACAGCCAGGAGGGCCTGGGTGGGCACGGCCCCCCGGCCACCCCTTCCTAGAAGCACTGCCAGGCTCCAACAGAGCGGGGGACCAACGGGGGTCACCTCACCCAGAGAAGCATTCCCCAAATGCTGCTCTCCGGCAGACCACAGACAGACAGACAGACAGCAATACGCCGAGGCTCAGGACAGGTGTCCGTTGTGCATTCAGTCAACAAATCTCTGACACAGAGCCGGGCGCCCCACCTCGAGGTGCAGGAGCAAAGTGGGGCCAATCAAGGCTCCTTGGGCCGGAAGGCAGGAAGCCCTCACTCACCACTCACCCGCGTCACGGGCCACTTGCCAAGCCAACCATCCGACCCTGGGCGCTTGGGGAGGAGAAAGGTTTGAGGGCTTGTCCAGACAAGGTCAGGGGGCTGCACGGTCCCTCCCAGAACAAGCCCCTCCAAGAAGGTGCCACCAGATCCTCTGATTGGTTCTATTCCCCCTCACCCATCATAGGGCTTGAGACAGACTCCGTGGGTGCAGTGGGGTGAAGGGTGGGTGGATGGGCCAGTGGACGGGCAGGTGGGCAAGCAGACGGTCAGCTGGCAGCCAGAAGGCCCCTTCCCCCGGGACAGAGCAACTCGAGGAACTCATTATGCCAAAACATAGATGTTCAACCGTTGGGCGCTTTTACAAAGGATGAGGTCACGTCAGACTAGACCCGTCCAGCCCACACACTGCGATCAGAGTGGCCACCGGGACGCAGGCCAGAAAGCCACAGGTAAAACCGACCCACGCAATCCCACCACACCCGGGTCCCAGCGGAGGGGTGGGTGCTTTCTGATCGGTTTTCGCCTGGTCAGCGAGATCCCACACCACACCCTGAAGCCCCCTGAGCTCGGGCTGGGAGGGGCTCACCCTGTGTCGCCAGCCCCCAGGGTCAAGGAGGGGTTTGGCAGATGTGAGTCCAACAAAAAGGCCAGCCCGGGGAAGGGTACGTGGTCACATTAGACAGTTGCACACACACCACACACACAGGGCCACGTGCACGAGTACGTGAGCACACACCGTATAACGCCACACGTACACACACATCATCTGCACACGCACACCTCAGCAAACGGGTGCACACAGGCACACGGCATATTCACACCAGTCACACACATACACATATACACACACGTTCACACACTCACCTGCACAAATACCACGTACGCAGCACACACAACACGTACCGAGCACACACACGCCACATGCACACACGTTGTGCACGTGCTGTATAGACACGTGCACACCATATACGCACTCACAAGCTTGCACGCTCACACCCACACATCCATACACAGTGCACACACACGTACCTTACACATATGCACACAAGCCATTCACACGCACAGACACCATATGTGCGCATACAGGCTCATCACACTTATGTGCAGACATATGCACACCTGCACACAGGTGCGTGCACCCCACACACGCACGTACTCCACACCCGCATGCACAGCGCACACGTGTTCCTGCGTGCATACGCACACACACCCCACACGCGCACACGCTGCCGACAAAGGCACAGCACTCGTATCGACCACACAGCCACCAACACCCCCTCTTGAATTCCTGTAAGGCCCCCGCCTGGACTGTTAAGACTGGAAGAAACCCCTCCGCTCACATACGGGGCTCCTTGGAGCAGAGACGCCCCAGTCCCACGACAGAGGCTAGCCCGGCCCCCAGCACTCCCAGCTCCCCAGGAGCGGCACCTACAGGCCTTCCTGACCCTGGGACCTCCCCCCACACACTGGCTCCTCCTTCTTGAGGGCTGTTGAGAGCACTTTGCAGAGAGACCTCATTAAGCCAGTCTTCATTTCTGAGCCATTTCCTATGGAGGGCGGAGAAGTCGTTCCTCAGACTTTTCATTCCTATCTTCCGGAGATTGTCTCCTCTGGGGCCAATTACTTCCCTCAAACAGTTTTGATGGATCGATCAGGATTTTGTGCACAACTTTTTACTGGCGATACCGATATACACAGATACGAGCACAGGTGTGTGCTTGTTCCGTTAAGTCGAAAGTCACAGACCTGCACTGTGTCAAGCAGATGAGCTTCTCTGCCAGGTTTTGTGAGCACCACTGACAGGGGGCACAGGTGCCCCTCCACACACAGTGCTGGTCTTTCCGGATCATCTTGGCTCGATATTCTCCTTTGGCCTTGGGTACGGGGCTGCCTGGAGTACCTCTGTTTGCGTTGCTTATGTCTGAGTAGCATGTCACGTAGAGCAAACACTGAAGGTCTTGGCTCATTCTTGAGAACATCAAGGGCAGACCCCTTAGGGAGCCTCGGGCCACCTGGGTTTCCAGAGTCAGCCATTGTGAAAATAACCCAACGCTCAGTCTGTCCAGCCTCTCTGTGCCCCGTGCCCACGTGTTAGAAAGGCAAAGTGCCAGGTGTGGTCTAGGCCTGTGTGGGGCCAAGTCCAGTCCGGCAGAGAAGCAAGCAGTGGTTCCGCACTCCCCCGCCCCGTGGCCCCCACGGCCCTACCGGGCCCAGGATCCTCGTCCTGACCAGGAGACCCCTAGGGGATCAGGTGCACAGGGGCTCGCCTGTAAGGACATCCCGAGAGCTCAGGACCACCTGCACTGTCCCCCGTGATGGCCCAGTTCTAGGCGGCAGGACACAAAGCATAACGGGTGCAGCAGCTACCGGCCCCCTCCAGCAGCTTCCGCTGCAGCGCTAGGGGCAGTTCCCAGGCGCTGGGTCCCACCAACATCTGACCCGCCTGGAGAGTCCCCAGCCCCTCGTCTCGCATGTGTGGACTTGGAGAACCAGAATGTGCGCAGCCTACCCAGGAGGTCACAGGAGCATGGGCCCTGGGGTGACTGTCCAGACGCAGACCCGGGTCTGCCATTACCGTCACTCGTGTGCTTTGGGTGCCTTGGTTTCCCCTCCTGACACAGGGATAGTACTGATGTCCGTCTCGTAGGGATACCGTGAGAATTAAGTAAGAGAGTCCGTGTAACGCGCTCAGAGCAGTGCCTGGTACCGTGAGCAAGTAAGCAATCAATGATCCGTCACCATCTGGGGCGCCGTGACCCTGCTCACCAAGGGGGGAGGGCCAGCAAGAGAGGCCTGGGAAGCTCTGGGGGTCTGGGCCCCGTCACCCCATCCCCACCCTCCACCCGTCACCTCTGCTGTCGGGGTGTGTGTGTGGGGGGGTGTTCTCCTGGTCCAGGTGCGGGCTGGCGATGCAGGCTGGGACCGGTCACCTGTGTAGGGTCAGTGGGCCCAGCTAGGGGGGTACCGGGGACTGTCCACTCTGCAGCATCACTGGACCCAGGAAGGGCTGGAGGTGGGGGGGTGCTGGGCCTGTCAGCTCTGCAGTGTCTCCGGGCCTCTTTCCAGGGGAGGGAGGGGCTGGGGGGCAGGGCCAGGGCCACACTCCAGAGGAGGACCTGTGAACCCAGAGCATCCACAGGCACAGGTCCGGTGGGGAAGGGCTGGAGGGTTGGCCGGGCCCGTCACCCCCCTCTGCCCCACAGCGAGGACGACGCCGCCACCGTGTACCGCGCAGCCGCGATGCTGAACATGACAGGCTCCGGGTATGTGTGGCTGGTGGGGGAGCGAGAGATCTCGGGGAACGCCCTGCGCTACGCCCCGGACGGTGAGTGCTGGACCTCTCTGGGTCCCGGTGGGCAGGGGTCCCCCACGGACACTAAGCCCACCCCACTCGCCCCAGGCATCATCGGACTGCAGCTCATCAATGGCAAGAACGAGTCGGCCCACATCAGTGACGCCGTCGGTGTGGTGGCCCAGGCGGTGCACGAACTCCTGGAGAAGGAGAACATCACCGACCCACCGCGGGGCTGCGTGGGCAACACCAACATCTGGAAGACAGGGCCGCTCTTCAAGAGGTGGGCCGGGATTGTCTTCAAGAGGTGGGCGGGGACTCTCCTCAAGAGGTGGGCAGGACTCTTCTAGAGGTGGGGGCAGGATTCCCTTCTGGAGGAGGGGCGGGACTCTCTTCTAGAGGAGGGTGGGACTCTCATCAAGAGGGCGGGTTTCTCTTCTACAGGCGGGCGGGACTGTCTTCTAGAGGTGGCTGGGGTCTCTTCAAAAGGAGGGCGGGACTCTTCTGGAGGAGGGGCAGGTCTCTCTTCTAGAGGTGAGGGGGGCGGGATTGTCTTCTAGAGGTGGACGGGACTCTATTCTGGAGGTGGGTGAGGCCTCTCAGAAGATGAGAGTGGTCGCTCCTCAGCAGGTGGTCAGACATCCTACACGTACAGGCATCTCCCGGACTTCCCCCCTGGCCCCCCATCTGTCTTCCACCACCACCTCCAGCTCCACTGTGATAATCATCTGTCCCATTTCCAGCAGCGACATTAATGTCTCAAATGTCACTGAAATCGTGGCTGCCTCCACTGCTCCTGACCCCGAGACCCACCCCAGCTCCCCAGGGTAGCTGACAGCCCTTGGGAGGAGGCTCCTGCTGCAGATGGGGACAGGGGGCTTCCAAGTACCGAGAACATCAGACAAGGAGCCCCCTAAGGATGGAACCTAAGCCTGTAGGGAGCCAGGGCTGGCCAGACGTCCAAGTGGATGGACATAGTGGGGCAGGAGTTACTTCACAGCACCCTGGACACTATGCCACTCAGCCTATCACCAGACCCCCTCCACCCCACTGAGTAGCAGACGCGGAATCGCATGTGCAGAACCACAGTTATGGCGCCCACAACAGGAGCACACACACAACGGCAGGCTTGTGCAGCAGATGTGCACACACTCGGCGAGGCACGTGGCACGCACACACGCGTAGGGATGCATCCACACAAGGGCCACGCGTGTTCACGTGTATGGCTCGTGGGCACGCTACGCGTGCACGTACCAACAGGACAGCACATCGGCCCTACTTCCCTTGTTGGTGAGCAGGTTACTGCTCCCTTCCGGGGCAAGGATAGCTGCTGGGAGGCTCGAGTGTCCCAAAGCGCAGAAAGCCCTCGAAGGGGGCGTGGGCTCGGGAGTTGCTGGGCTACCACGGCGGTGCTCTCCGTCTGGTGCAGGCAGGCACACCGTCCGGCAGGCAGGCAGGCACACTGTCTGACTCCCAGCACGAGGGTCTGGTTCCTGCTAACCTCTCCTTGTTGGCACTGAGGCAGAGGAAGGGGCTAGGGCTGCTCAGAAGGCCGGGGAGGGGGAACGTGTCCGGTAAGTGTGCTCACACCGCCCTCCCCAGGGTGCTGATGTCCTCCAAGTACGCAGACGGGGTGACAGGCCGTGTGGAGTTCAACGAGGACGGGGACCGGAAGTTCGCCAACTACAGCATCATGAACCTGCAGAACCGCAAGCTGGTGCAAGTGGGCATCTACAACGGCACCCACGTAGGTGGGGGTCATGAGGGGGTGGGGGCTGGGGCCTTAGGGTCCTGGGGCCAAGACCCCTGCGTGGCCACCCTCCATCTCATACTCCCACCCCCAGGTTATCCCCAACGACAGGAAGATCATCTGGCCAGGTGGAGAGACAGAGAAGCCCCGAGGGTACCAGATGTCCACCAGGCTGAAGGTGGGGGCCTATCGCCCTGTGCCAGCATCCACACCCAGACACTCCATCCAGCTCCACGGGCCCACAGGAGGGGACAGTGAGGCCAGTGCAAAGGACCCAAGCGAGTGGGGAATGGACCGGCGCCCGGCTGCCACAGCCCACACCTGGTGACACAGAGCAAGCAGGGAGAGCAGGTGGAGGGAGGAGAGGCAGCTGCTGGGCCCCGTCCCGTGGGCTCTCTCCAGAGCGTCTCTGGATCCAAATGCACTTCAGTCAGGAAGCCGTGTGGGATAGGACTCTCCTGGGGATGAGCTGCTAGGGGACGAGGGACAGACAGAGGTGGTTCTGTGGACTCGAGCTCCTGCACTCATCACCCCTCTGGGGGACCCTAGCCACCCCACCCGCAGTCTTCACAGCCTCTCACCATGACTGAGTCAAACAGTCCTTTCACCCCTGCCCCCTCCCCCCCCCACAGCATTCTCCATGGCAGGCTGTTCCCTCCTTGACCCTCCTGCTGGGGCCTCTGGGAGACCCTCCTGGCTGGCCTTTCCCCTCACAACTTCTCTTCCTTGCTCCTTTGGGCTCATCCCTGGGCCCCTGTGTCCTCCTCGGCACTCTCGTGAGAGCCCCTCCTGTTTCCGGCCCACAGCAGCACTGGGCCAGAATCTTAGATCACCAAAGGCAAAGATCCTAAGTGCCGTGGGCCCAGTGAACCTTCTCCCGGCACGCACAGGTCCTCAAATGTCTCTTGACCTAGTCTCCTTTCTGAGGCCACCCCCTAGGGCCTCTCACCCAGACCCATGTCAGCACCTGCCCGCAGGTCACCATCCTTCATGACAGGCAGAGCGGGCTTTTCCAAAGCCAACCCGGCTCCTTGCAGTTCGATACCTTGTGTTGGAAAGTGAAAGTAAGAGCCAAAACACCGATGGCCAGATGGTCCAGATGGTCCCATCCAGGCTGCCAGATTCAGATGGCTTTTTCAACTTTTTTTTTTTTTTTTTTTTTTTTTTTTTTTTTGGTCTCACCGATTTTTTAAACGTGCAAACATACATTGCTTGTATAATAGAAAAACGTGATGAAAGTTTACACAGCTCCTGCAGGGGCTCCCAGTCCCCCAGGGGAAAAGTCAAAATGCTGCGCTTACAGCTGAGGCTCTGGCCAGCCCGCCCTGCAGACCCACCGTCCCCCATGTGCCAGGAGAGAATCCTTCTCAAACTGATCCCTGCTCACTCCGCAGGCTCAACCTGTTGCGTTTGGCTCAGCCCCCCGTGTCCTGTATCTGTCCCCCTCATCCCCTAGGCTATGGGCCCCTGGAAGATAGGAAGAAGAGAGAACCCCAGCATAAGCCTCAAGTATCCCCTTGGGCTGAGAGGCAAGCTACGGGAGAGAGGACAGCATTGGCAAAGGAAAGAGAGAGGCAGGACAGATAGATGATCAGATAGCCATTGCTGAAGAGGCTGAAGGCCAGGAGAGGCCAGGTGGTCAGACAAGGGTGATCCCTGCGGGTCCCAGGTCCTGTGCAGGCTCAGAGTGGATGTCAGACATGCCCCTGTCCTCATGGTGGATGGTGGCAGGCAGGGTGCATGCTCTGGGCCGGGACAGGGAGTTTCTCATCCCTGAGAGATCAGAGAAGGTGCTGGGCACACTGGCCATTCCAGCAGGCTCCTCTGATGGAAGGAGTGATGTGTAAGCCAAGATCCCCAAGACAAGTGGCCAAGAGGAGGGCACACTGTTTCAGGAGACCATGTGTCTTCTGAATGCTGAGGAGTCTGGGGACCCTCCTGAGGGCAACGGCCAGATGTTGTTGATGGTGGCCGGGGAAGATGTGGATTGGCCCCCTGAGGCTGAGCAGAAGGGAAGCGGCTGGAGTGGGGGGACACCAGGGGCTTGGAGGGAGTGCAGGGGAGTCTGGGCGCTGAGGGTGGATGGTCCAGGCTGGGTCTCTCCCCACCCCCACCCCCACCCCCCCAGATTGTGACGATCCACCAGGAGCCTTTCGTGTACGTCAAGCCCA